GCCACACGTCTATCGATCGATATATATCGTTATTGAATTATCGCCCAGCCCTACTTTCGATTATTTTCCAGATTAATAATCAGATAGCCAGAGATCCAATTATCCAAGATCCAAGCCAAAGATTCTTTAAATAAGACTTTTTTATTAAATAAAACCAGGTGGAACTAAAACTTCTCCACTTGAGGAGTTTTGCATAGAGCATATTGACAGAGGATTTTTTTTTTCTTATCTTAAATGCAAAATGTTTACATATTTTTTTTATAATCTGGGTATTATTACTGCTCTGTGTGTTGCTCTGTCAGCTAAATGCATGTTTTACAGTCTCTTTTCTCTAGTTAATGATTTATTGATTACTGAATAAGTTAACGATTGTTACAATAAATGATTAATCACGATTAAACCGATTTGTTTCAGCCCTAATTCCATGGTATACAGAGTGGTGGAAGCATCATATTGTGTAGATGTTTTTCAATATTCATATAATAACAAGTCAGGGTATTTTATTTAGTAGGGACTAGAGTTCAGAAACTGGGGATAAAATAAAATACAAAGCGAACAATCAAACAATGGAAATAACTAAAATCTGGGACAGACGACTATATTCTGGTCGGATAGCGGCCCTAAATATAAACCAGGAGCTTTAATAAAATGATAAAAAGCTTTTTCATCTACAGTTAAAGTCTGGATCAAAATATAGGTCAGAATCTGTGGTGACACTTTATAACTGATGTTCATTAACTAGCTTTAGCTAGGGCACTAGCCTATGAATGAAAAAAATAAAACAGACCACCTGATTTTGTATAAACCAACAAACAGTAGCAGAGAAAGTGTACAATTCTGCAATGTTGAGTAGGAACACTGAGTGGTAAGGGAAGCAGAAGAGAGCAGTTATACTCTGTGTTTATGGCAACACTAGACAGTAGGCAAATGAATGCAAACATATTGTGAACTATTGTGATGGCATCTCTTACGTTGATTTCTGCTCCCTTACTAAGAAGGTAATCAATCAATTCCGATTGGCCAAAGTCTGCAGCAACATGAATAGGCTTCCCTCCACTTTCAAGGGTCCGATTTACATCTTCAGCCTGAAAAAGAGGAAAGCATGTTGTTTGGACGAGATATTGAAACTCAGGCAAACTGTAAACATTCAGCACAGTAGGAAGGGCTTATTGTGCCTGATGAAAATTTTAAGTATTGACACTTTATGCAAGTAAAATACTGGCATCATGTCCTTTTGTTTACCTACTTTGCTGTAGTTATAAAAACAGCCTGTTAAACTTTGCTTTTGACACAAAACCGAGAAACACCTTGGCCTGCTTCCTCATTTCTTTAGCCTACAAACCACACACACATACCAAGCAGCTGACCTTCCGGTAACACCACCAATGAAATGTGACATCCTAAATAAAATAAAAAAACATGTTTCTCTGACTTTCTACACAAAAATAAAGGCAAGTGATGCCAAAGCACAAAGAGATGTGATCCCTGTGAATTAATATATGTAGGCAGGCAGAGAAGTTATCCCCCTAGACAGGAGTTTGATATTAGGAAACCTTAGGAGGGTGGGCCAGAGTTATCTTAGCTAGCTGGTTAAAAACTCAATAAAATATCAAATCCAATTTTATTGAGATCCGGATGAATGCTAAAGTAACTATATATGTTAATTACATAAAATGCATCTCATTTTTGAGGGCTTTCCAAGTATGTGTTAGGGTTTTTAACTTCCCTTCTTTGCTCTGTAATTACATGGCAAACGTATCCACTTTAATGAAACAGAAATTATAGTTTCGCTACATGATTCACACAGATCTTTATCTAATTCTATCTCAGATGAGGCATTTTGATTTTAGATAGTAGAAAAGGACATCAGTGGGCTAGATAATCTGAACATCAGCTCTGCTGAATACCTGCAAAGCAAAGGTTTTACTATTGCTGAATTGAAACGCACGTTATAGCATATTACCCCCATGTCCTGCTGATTCAGAATCATATAATAATCCCCACAGCACCACCGTCACCCACTCACCTACAAACTACACTGAAGGTCAACTTTGACGTAATGAACATGATTCCTCATTTGGGAGCTTAGCAGGGATGGATAATGAATCTAAGCCTCATTTAATAGTTTTTAATTGTTACCATCAATGGCTAAGGCTCTGGAAACTGATTAAATGGAAAAAGGATAATAGTATATTATATATTTATATTAAGACCTGCAAAGAAAACTACTTACTGTTTGAAACTTCATGACTGCAACTTAATTTTGCTCCAAATTAAAAGCTGTAATTATACATTTGAACTGATCATCTGTTTTTTAAATGAAGAATCAGCAATATTTAAAGTTCTTCAGAATATCACATGTCCAAGTATGTTCTGCCACCTCAAAGGTTTTTTAAAGAATAATGGAAGGGATAAAAACCATTACATGATCTAAAGGTATTCTTACTTTTAGCATAAAGAAGCCATGTTCAGGCTTTCATTGGGCAAAACAGATTTTAGGTTTGTATGGACTGGTCTGCAAATTCAAATTTTGACTGATTGCAATTTTTATCCTAAGAACTATAAGACAAAAAAACTTTATCGGGTTCTTTGATCACTATAGCAGTTTTGAGCACAACAAAAAAGGTAATTAAAGAATTAAAATAACATTGCAATCTATGGATCAAAGCATGTCCCTGACTTTTATTGGACAAAGTTAAATATAAAGAAACCGATAACATTTTACTGTTTGTCAAACTGATAAACGATCAGAACATTTCAAAGACCCAGCAGCTTATTTTTGGTAGAGCTCTATTTTAGCACATTTTAACTTCCCTTTATGTGTAAAGAAGAACTTAATTTTTTTACAGTCGTAAAAATTTTCTCGAGTGGTGCACGACTTTACATGGGTGAATAAAGTGAATGTGATTGGTCGTTTATCAAGAGGGTGGTGTTGTTGTGACGGAAGGTTCACAAGCAAGTTCGGTGGCGGCCAGTTTCTCGTAAGCATCTTGCTAACCCGTTAGCAACTTAATGCTAGTAGGTTCCCAATGGGAAGGAACGCCATGGACAGCAGAACCATGCAAGAGGAAGAGAGTTTTGTGTCAAAGGTCATGGATGAGTCTCCTCCGTCATCCATTTTTTATTTAGAGGAGGAAAGCGGGGACGAAGATGTTGTGGAAGAGGACGCCAGGGTGGCATAAGCTTGGTTTGGTGTAGAAGGCTTCCAGCCGTACATGTTTGAGCCCTTGCCTCGCAACGCTGCTAGTTCTGTTAGCTCTACGCCTGCTGAAGACACAGACGTCATCCCCGTGAACACTGGGACGGAACTCAATGGAAAAGGAAATGATTCTTATTTCTAGAGTTGTCAAAAGTATTGATACTCAAAAAAGTATCGACACTGAAACGTATCCGGATACAATACTCATTTTTAAAAGTATCGATACAGTGCCACCACCAGTGGCACCTAAGCAGTCATTCATCTAAAGTGCAGAATAAAAAAAAGACAATGCACTTTCTGAACACTGTGTGATTGAATAATTCTGTGCACTTTTCAGTTTCAGACTTTTTTTTTGGTAAGAGGTGCAGCTGCTGAGAATTATTTTTGTTTCTTAGCCGGTTTGGCTAGTGTCATTGTTATGTGTGCAAAGCATAGACAAGGAAGGAACACTTGATTTTAATTTTATACGTTTATTTTATCAAGCTTGCTTAATATTGTGCACAGCATACAACCTTTATTGTATTTATTTATTGTATTTTATTTTATTTATTAATGAAAATATTTCTGTAGAATTTTGGAGTCTTTGTTTTTATCCTTGTGGTATCGAAAATGGTATTGAGTATAAAATATTTTCCTTAGTATCGGTATCGAGTTGAAAAGTTTAGTATGGTGACAACCCTACTTATTTCTAATTTCAACCGTTGCATATGTTAGCTGTGACATATGAATCAAGATGCTATGACCTTAAGACAGCTTCACATGGGAAAACAGGAAAATAAAAAAAATTTTCAAAGTGAATATAAAGTCCTAGATTTCCAAAACATTAAAATTGGTTATGTAGTCCATTTCATTAATTGAGTGAGGAACTGAAATGGTTACTTGCTAGGTAGTAGCTTCATGTCATGGTTTCAATGAAGTGGGTGGACGAGGAGGTTGTAAAACCCATTATTTTCTTTTAAAGGTAAATGACCTTTCAGGGCGTGAAACCATTGTGGTATGTATACCTTTTGTGGCAACACTTAAAGGCATGTTTTGCAGAAAAACATGTTTTGTTCTATGGGGCCTAAACCATTTCATAGAGAAATATTCAAAAATTTGTGCTTTTTTTGCATAAAAACCCAAATCTTGTTTATCAAGATGCTATGACCGAAAAAAATTTGACTGACAGATGACCATTGATATATGATTGGTCAAATTTAGGTGTACAAGCTGACGTATAACTAACTGGCCCTACGACTTTAACAAATGTCTTCATCAATACCTTCACAAGCAAATATGAGACTCTTCTTCTGGACTCTAGAATGCAACCAAATTGGTTGCACACGCCATTTTAAGGGGGTAGTGGAGGCCTAGTGGTTAGGGCTTGGAATCCTGACGTTATGAGTTCGAGCCCCACTACCACAGACTGCTACTCTGGGTCTTTGAGCAAGACCCTTAACCCCACACTGCTCCTTAGGCACCGCACTCCTCCCCAAAGGGATGGGTTAAATGCAGAGGTAAATTTCTCCAATGTGGGATCAATAAAGTTAAATCATTAATATTATTTAAATCTGTTGAGCATGACTATTGGTTGCACTTATGCGCCGGTCATTTAACACGTTTATTTTCTTATGCAAAGACAGTTTGAAAAAGTTGCATGTATATGTATAGTATAGTCAAGAATCTGCTTATATTCTGAGTAACTTCCCAAAAAATGTTTGTTTTTGTTTCTTTGTTAGATGTGCTCCTGTTTGACTCAGAGCCAACACTCCAAACAAACAAACAACTGTTTTTTTATTACACCATACTAAAGAGCTTATGCTGAACTTTATGAGAATAACATGCTGACCTTTGTGCTCAGGATGCAAACCGATCAAACGCTAATAGCAACTGCTAAGAGGGGAAAATAAAGAATGAAGGTCTTAAAACTTCATTAGAGTAGGCACTTTAATCCCACACTGTTAACATTTGATCACTGCTGCACTTTAAGGAATGGAAATGTAATGAAAGCTGTACAAAATGAAATGATAATAAAAGTTGTCAAAGTCACTTAGACTAACATCTATTCAAAAGGAAAAGCATTTGCACATTCACTCCTTTAAACCTTCCATACCACATCTGGTATCTAAATAAGGAAATAAGCTAACAGTTTTAATTTTTGCAAATCTATAAGAATAGTATGAGGACAATATATCACCAAGGTACATTTAGATTCCTTCCTGTTAAGCTAAATTTGACATGGTTAAGCCCACCGTCTAAGGCGACAGCTGGGATCCCCGCCCTCCAAATCCAGACACTGCTGAGTTTTTGGCCTGTCTGGTTGGTTAGCCAGCTAGCTTTTAATTACAAACATAAAAGCGCACTTTAAAAACGTGTTCAACCCATTAAAAACACTAGACTAGTTTATAAAACACATGTACATAAAACAAACATTTAACTCGTTGGTGGTGCAACACTATAAGCACTAGAGTTAGCAGTCAGTGCTATTGTTGGCTAGCTTACCAACAGGTTGCCATAGATTAATCATCATGCACGCTGAGTAAACTTAGAATTAACAAAACCAAACCCCCATAACTATTGATTAACAATAAATTACTGCTGTCCAACTGCAACAAACACAACGAATACATTTTAAGTTTTTCGATACGGCAATTTCTATCGACGACTTATGTGGATGCTAACAGACTTATGCTTTAGCAGGAAGTGTAACTGTTAGCACCAATTAAATAATTTTAAGCTGCTGTTAAATTTTAGCTACGCGTAGAAGTTCCCACTTGCCGGTTTTGCAATAAATTATACATGTAATATCCTTAACGCTGGTAGCTAACCGGCTAGCATGAAAGGCTACAAAACCTATTTTTCCTCTTACTTTCGGCTAAAGCTAACACTTGTCGGAAAAAACAATTAAAGTTAAAACAGCATTCCTACCGTTACCAGCTTGGCTTTAACCTCGTCCAAATCTCCGGTTTTTAAAGCCCAAATTAGCTCTTTATCTGCCATGATCTTGCGTGTTGCACCTTCCTTGTAATGCAGAAAAAAGTTAGCTCGCTAACAGTGGACTAACACTCTTCTAATGGCCGCTAGGAGCAACACCCAAGATATAGAAGGCTGTCAAATGTGCAGCGCTGCAACGTTTTGTCAAATACAATGAAGCGGTCGATGACTAAAAAGCAAAAATTGCTCCAACAGAAGTTCTGAAAGACAAAAGTGGTAAAAGGGGATCCGCCTTTCTCGGCACATCAGAAATATTTCCAAACCGTAACCCGGAAGGTAACTACCAGAGTGGCGTTCAGGCGCTCACGTTAAAATTAAATACGCACACAGCCTTATCTTCAACATAAAGATTCGCATCGCGTAAGTTATTTTTTTTTTTTTTTACAACAACATTGCATTCAGTCAATATTTTTAATACACCTGACCACGGAGTAATAACAGATGTATGCTAAAACTATTTCAACACATGAAGTATGAAAATAATCGTAAATTCCGATGAGACTTGAAAGCATTCTCATATTTCGGAGCTTTTTTTTTAAAACCAAATACTGCTGTTTTTGTTTTTTACTGTTATTTTTTTCTTTTTATCGACTAATCTCATTGTTTAAAGTTGAAGAAGACAATAATTGACACGTTTTAACCCTTTTATAAAGCCTAAAGACAGTTTCAGAACTGCATACCTAAATTAAGATACAGGCCATTCAAACCACAGTTTCCCTATAACTGGCACTGACCTAATATCAGCTCTTGACTCATACTTCCTTTTAATCTAGGTTACTGCCGTAGCTGAGTTTCATTAGATAAAACCTTACGCCCTACCAAAGAGAATAATAATAATTAAAACGTTTTATTGAGACAACAAAAAATGTTTTGCTGAATGAACTCTTTTTTTTGTCTTACTCTGGACTGATGTTAAAAACCACTAATGCTGTCTGCACCACATTACTGCACTGCAAAAAATGGAAATCTAAATAAGTAATTTTTTCTTAAAATAGGTGCATTTGTTCTTGAATTGAGGAGTTAAGTGAGATACTTTGCCAATGGAACAAGACAATTTACATTTAAAATAAGAAAAAGCAACCGCATTGTCTTATTTCAAGTGCATATTATCTAATAATCTTATTTTAGGAGTAAAAATACTCATTCCATTGGCAAATCATCCCATTTACCTACTAAAATGAAGGGTAAATATGCTTGATTTAAGACATTTTTACTTATGTCTAGACCATTTTTGCAGTGTGTAAAACTGGCACAGGTAGCAGTTTGCACAATTTACCAGCCCTCCATCTTTGAATAAGATCATTACAATTCAAGACACATTTTTAAGCATTTTTCAGTGTTTTTAATGCTGGAATTGTAACCATGTTTCCAAATCAGATATTCATGTTTCGACTTACTTGGGCCTCCGTTTAAGATGAATTAAAGTCACCAAAATAAGTTTGCGGTAAATTACTTTAGTAGAATCTTACAACAACAATTTCAGCAAAATCAAACCTTTACTTTGAGTCAAAGATAGGAAAAAATCAACATAATTCATAAACCATAAACAACTTTTTCAGAATATATACTGTAGTATCCACAATTATTTACAGCACATAAATTTCTGATTAAATGAATGTAATTTTGTTTTTTAAGCTATAGTTTTTAAGTAGCTGGATAGAACTTTTGCATAATGATTCATGACTTCCATTTTTCCTTTAAAATGACTGATAATTCATATGACTTTAACAGATGGAAGACTGGCTAAAACATACTATTTAAGCCTGGAATATATTTAGTAAAAAAAAAAAAGAATAAAAAAGGTTCAGGAATAGCCAAGCTTTAATATCTTCCAATCAGTCCCAAAGGGCTTTCCCCCAGCTTCAGTGGCAAATGGAGCTGACAATTGTCAGCATAGACATGAAAAAGCAATTCCATATATCCTGAGAATGAAACCTAAAGGCAATATATACAATGAAAATTGAGCCCTGTGGGACCTCACATTATAAAGGGGTGCAGAAAAAAAATCATCACCCAGTCGATAACAGTGTACTGAATGCCTACAAAAAGGATTAAGAAGTAATATTAGGATACTGTGATCAAAAGTGCTGGAGGCAGAAGCAGAACCAAGACCGCTTAGGTACCAGAATCACATCCAACAAGATATTATTAACGACTGACAGTAAAGCGTTTCAGTACTATGATGAGCTATAAATCCATAATGAAATGTTTTATGAATTTAATTCTCAATCAGGTAAATTTGTAACTGACAGAAAACAAATTTCTCTTAATTTTTTGATGCAAAAGGCAGCTTAGAAATTGATCTATTATCAATTAGCCAACATGGAGTGATCTAGACCCGGTTTCCTCATTAAGTTCTGTAATATCTGCAAGTTTACGTCCAATAGGATAGCCTGTGTGGGGAATGCTTTAAGGGTATTGTTATTATCTATCATTTGCTGGCTGCAGAGATAAAGATGTTTGAAGAAATGTCTGTAATTTTGTATAAGTGTATTAGTATAATGCTACAATAAAATATCAATGTGTATAAATATAAATTATTACCAAGATATTGTTTTTTCCTCTTCATAGCTGAGTTTTAACTTGCGTTTGTCATGCAGTGGTGATTGACTGCAGAGTTACAGCCTGCAGAGTCATAAGGCATGGGAGGGCAAACTCTTAGTTCATCCAAGATCCTTCCATTCGAAGAGTTATTTGACATTAAGGGGGCGTGTTGGCCTAGTGGTTAGAGCAGTGTGCTTGTGCTCTGGGAAGGTTGCAAGTACACGGTTCGATCTCCACAACCTCAACTCTGGGTCCTTGAGTAAGAACCTTAACCCCACACTGCTCTCTGGACGCCACACAGTGGCAGCCAACTACTCCCCAAGGGGAGGGGTTAAATGCAAAGGTAAATTTCTCCAATGTGAGATCAATAATGTTCAGTTATTATTATTATTATTTAATCTCTGAGTATCTAAATTGAAAGATGGATGATGCAATCACAACATTTAATATTGTATTCAAAGAGATCTTTTTTTTAAAACTAAACTTAAAGAAAGATAAGGGTGAAATTGAATCTTGTTACACTTTTCGAATTTGCATGTGTGACATTTATTGCAGAACTTTTATTTAAAATAAAGACAATTTATAAAATGTAAGACCCCAGATCCTCTTTTATTTAACTTAACAATATAAAAAATATAAATAAATTGAATTGCTTCCTCAAAGTGAAGAAGCAATCCCATTTTTACAAGGGGATCGTGCTTTAATACTGACAGTTTCTCCTCCTTGATCCCTCTAAAATGAAATCTTTAGAGCCTGCAGGTGAATGTGCACTGTAAACTCAACAAGAGCAGTAAAGCATCTACTGTATATTCCGGTGTGTGGTCAGGAGAGATAGAGACATTCTCATAAAAGCAGTGACTGATGGTGTTTTAGTAGGGCATGGCTTGTGCGTCATAATTTTCAAGGCGCTGAAGGAACCAAAGCAGATGATGGCAGTATTCAATTGAGGGCAGTAGCTCTTGTCAAAGAAGCTGCTTGAAGAGCTGTCTAGTCAGTCTCAGATGCAATAAATCAGAAGCAGAAGAAAACTTTGTAAAAAATATGTTTTGTTTTTTTGCCCTGGTGTGTACAGATGAAGGGCAAGGTTCCTCTTCAGCTACAAGTTTATACAGGGCTGAAATATAGGTGAAGACAAATGTTTTTGCCCACCATCAGAACAGAAAATCTTAAGATCATAACAAAAACAGTTGTTTCAAAATAAAAACAAAGGACGCTACTCAGAAAAAAATCATGACAAGAATGTTAAACCTGCTAATGACATTCAAGAGCTCTCAAATCCTCTCCGATTTTATGAAATCTCCTCTGAGAAGCTTGACAGCTTGTTCACACATGCAGATATTATAAACTGAGCAGCTGAGGAGCAGGTATTAATACTTTTCACTGTAAGTGTAATGAGTTGTTGGAGATTTTATGCAAAAATGGTTGAAGGGGTAAAATTGATTACTGCTCAGGTTTCCCCTACTTGTTATGCTAAAGAGACAAACAGCACCGCATAAAGGTGATGTTGGAAGTCAAATGCAGCACCACAAAGTCATGTGCATTTCATTGCAAACTCTAAAGACACCAAACTGACACTTTATGCATGCAGTATATATAGCCCTTCCTTGTCATGCACATCATTGTGACGGTTGGCATATGGTGTAATTTTCTATTTCTTCAAACTGTAAAATCCTTGCAACAAACTAAATTATAATAAAACTAAAATGCTTTCTTTAAACCAAACTACGATGTTCTTCTTATATTTGGCAAATTTATGTTAAAATATTTTGAAAAAATATGTTGCGGTGCGAGTTTGCATGTTCTCCCTGAGCATGCGTGGGTTCTCTCCGGGTACTCCGGCTTCCTCCCACTGTCCAAAAACATGACTGTTAGGTTAATTGACTTGTCTAAATTCTCCTTAAGTGTGAGTGTATGCATGAATGGTTGTTTGTCCTGTTTGTTTTGTGTTGTCCTGCGATGGACTGGTGGCCTGTGCAGGGTGTACCCCGCCTCTCACCCATTGACAGCTGGAGATAGACACCAGCACCCCTTGCGACCCCCATTGGGGACAAGCGTGTCAGTTAATGGATGGATTGATGGATGTTGCAGTGCATGATGGTGTTACGATGGCCAGGTTGGGATGTTTCCCAATCTGGCAGTTTAGAATGGCCGTTTATTGGTAAAAAAAAATTTCTTTAGATTTATGGCCTAAGAGATCAATAGACTTTGTCTGTGTTAGTAACCAAAGCCAGTAAAACCTCATGATAGAAGTCTTGGTGATGGTTGTTGTGTGATACTTGAAGATAGATCGGTTAATAAACAATGTGTGTTCGTATTGTGTTTTAACATTTTTCTTTTTTTTTACCACTCAAAGCATTAGAAAGAAGCTTGAAGACAATGATGCATTGACAATGCAGAGAGGTTTCAGTATAACTATAACAGCATTTAAACCTTTAAAGGTATAGTTGAGGATTTTTGCACATTTTTGAAAAGACCACCCCTTCCCACTTAAAAAAAAATGCTCTTGCACAAACCTGTACCCACTCCTGAGAGAGGGAATGCCTATTAAACCTATTAATGCACAATCCCATTACTACCCGTGCACGCTTGTTATGAAACTGGGGATGAGCATGTAGGACAGCCTGACGTAAACATATCACCAGAATGATGGACAATTAGGAGGACCATTTATTTTGATAATCCACCCGGAAAACGTACACC